CACAGCGTCTGATGAATAAAAGGAATTTTTAATTTCAGTCAACTCCGATGTTGGCACCGTGGTGACATATGCCTTCCATGAGATAGATCCGATGTTCAAAGTGCGGATGGGGATGGTGGATAGCCACTGCTAACGAGCTCTAGTGAGATCGAGATTCGTACCCAAAATCGGCGTGGCTACGTACTCCTATACCGTCATTCGAACCAGTCCGTCGATGAAGGGACGCATCATTTTTACTACAAAGTAGAAACTGTTCGTCTTAAATTGATGCTGAAAAACCTTAGATTAAAAATATTATATTTTTCCGTATCGTTATCCCGTTTTTTTCCGTTGCTGCTACTACTACAGCGACGATTACTTTTACGCAAGTAACAGACTGGACGGCTCACTGCTACACACGTTCACTCTGGAAGTCCAACCTACTGGTGACTACAGCGACATTAAAGTTGTTTCAAACCGTATCAAATTGAAACTATTCAACCCCGTCGCGGCACGGATCCTGTTGATTTTTCAGCTTGCTTCAATTCACTTCTCTGTTGAAATGTGCTCACAGAAAGCCTACATTTCTAAATAACGAAGAATCATCTGCCAAAAGTTTATTTTTCCCTCACACACCATACAAACAGCTACTCACTGTGTGCTTAGGAGATTCGTTAAAGCTCTGTCCTTTTATCCCATTACCTCTCATCACGTGTCTACGCAACACACACATACGCACATGATCGGAAACATGGGAAGCTTACAACAGTAACTCTATCCCGGCCGCTTAACGGGATATGCTGCCCCAACACATGTGCTTTACACAAAAAATACTATCGTTGTTAGCATTGTACAAGTTTGATTTGAAATCTGAAACAGCTTCACATGTCCTGTTCAATGTGGAACCAAATATTGCATTTTCGATTAGGCTCCAATATTGACTGGGTGGTACGGTATTTAGAACAGCATGATGTTCATGCACGAAACCTACGGTGGACAGTGTCCCCTCAGACCATTTCCCTTTGAACTTCCATCTTCACTCCACCCTGTGAACAGGCAGCAGGAAAAGTTTGGTCTCGACAATAGCTGGCCCGAACTGACAGCTCGCACTAGCAAAACAGTCCATCTATCGTCCTTTGAAATATGTTGAAAAGGATAATGGAGTAGCTTTTTTGTCTGTTTGCTTGTGTTCAGTACAAATGTCTATGAATGATCATCAACGCCACTACCTCCCCCCCCCCCCCCCCCCCCCCCGTCCAACTCCGTCTCAGGGGGTACACAGATATGCGCATAGTTAAACATCGGCATCTGATGTCCCTTACTCACTTCAGGGGCCCGAACGACATCGAAAAACAACAATCTGTTCAGTGTCATTGAGACTGATGTGTTTGTATGTCTCGTTCGAGGTTAAGGTGACGACGATAAGCTCTCTCTTGTATGAAGTGGACAGAACTATGGTATAATTTATGGACCATTGTTTTCGCAGCACCCGCCCGTCTATCTGTCGGTATGTCTACCAACTAGACAGATATCTAAATGTATATTTTCCCACAAACGCGTTTGTGTTTGTGTGCCGCATTTTGGTGTCCATGGTGTAGCTGCCCAACTGGTAAGTCTGTATCCCCCATCCCCTCCCCACACCCCGGCTATGAACGAATGGTAAAAACTGGAAGCCTGTCGGTTAATAATAAGTCTGTTAGATTTGCGAGGGAAACAAACCATCGACTTCTGTCAACATTGTTGTCAAACACAATACATTGCTAGATGCATTACCACCACTATCTTCAACACATAAGTGGTATATGCCAAATTTCTTTGCTGTTGTTGTCACTGTTGAGAGCGCATGGCGGTTTGATGGGTACAGAAGACATTTGGAGTCAACGCCTGGAACTAAGTCTGTTTGGGATGGGTCAAGCTACCATGGGGGCGGTGGGGGGCGGATGGGGGAGGGGTGACAAAACCCATGACCGATTATGCTGTTCATAAGGTGACCCGCGTGCCGCTCGGGCTTCGTTCGTAATAAACCGCATCTCGTGGACCTGCACTCGCGCTTTGTCATATTATCTATTCGTTCCTACGTTCCTATACTCGTTCAATCGATCGGGTTGTAGCATACCGGTTTGAAGTATAGAGGTTTGACAGTCGGAAGCAACTTAATACATACAATAACAGACGCAATTTCAGTTAATACAGGGTAACACGGAACAGATTGGAAGAGAGATTGATGAAGAAAAAGAGAGTGAGTGGATGATTCAGCTTCTGCACAAGATAAACGAATAGCGAAACTGAGTAAATTTTCAACGTAGATGAAGCTAAAAGATATTAGGGGACCGGAATTCACTGCGGCTGTCCTCCTTGCTCGCGACCGAATTCGTTCAACTGATCGGAACTTAATGTTTCAGTTGAAGATTACACTGCAACAGAAATTCAGTTCCGAGGACCTGATCTTGGATTATGGCAACCTAAGTGTTTAGACTGAGTGAAGCGATCATATAGATGGTTGGAGTTGAACAATACCGCTGCGTATGTTTTCCACCACCAGCTCTTTTTGATTGTCCCATCTCATAAACCAGATAAAGTAGTACTCATCCAACTTGTGTATTTTCATTTACCGCATTAACCTGTTTTTAGATCATTAATAATCGATTTTTTATTCTCACTCTCTCACCGAATGAACCCGGTCCCGATTAGCACACCGCATGGTGTGTTCTCTAATTTACTGCGTTCAGTTGCTTACCCAACGCACTACTGTGCCTCAGTCTTGCGAGAAGAATTAGGTTTTACCACAGAATACCTCCAAAACCAACTTTCAATGGTAGGGTCCGAACCGCGTACCTTAAAACCCGGTCTGCGTTGCTAACCCCAACTAGTATCGCTAGACCATCATTATTCGATGGTCAACCAGAGTGTGGGTTTTGAGGCAATACGCACTACTTTACTTCGGGTTAGTTCTTCAGAAAGCACGAAGAATGTCCCCTACCCGGAGTTAAATATTTCTAACAGGCCTCTTCACTTGGGATATACCATTGCTCCTCTTTCAGTATGCAAATGATAGTAGCCTGTAGCTGATCGCTTACGTGCACAACCTGTGATGATGCATGCTCACGTTTATGTGTGTACAGGTGGCTTCGATCATTCTCTGTCTGCTGATGCCCAAACGACATAATAAACTCAGGGTCATTGATTAAACGATAAGTGAGCCAATTCGCCGTGACTATTTGTTCTATGGGAGTTCTGAAGGAAGTTCATTTTGACATGGAAGACGTGGATAGTTTTGTTCTGGTTGCTCGGACTATGACTAAAAACATATGAAGGATACAGGAAGGCGCAAAAACTTTCGAAGTAACTAACCTGGATGATTACATTTCTTGCAGTCATTTTTAGACAATGTGATTGAAATTATTTGCCCGGTACATGCTTACATTCTTCCCTTTAAAACCACAATCACTTCTTAGATAAAGCAGTTCTGATTAAAGGAAGGAAAATAGACTATCAATTATTTTCAGAAAATCTTACAGTAGTCGCTAAAACCCAGACCGATCGAAATATTTAATAGATAGACATGGGATAAATTTTTTCCTGGTCCATATGGCCAAAGCTTTTGTTGAATGCAATCAGATTTGATAGCTGGCGTGTGATTAGACTGTAAAGGCACGGGATCGCGGGGTTGGCATTCACCGCGGTCGCTGTATGGCACTGACAGCTGACACGCTTGCTTACATCATTCGCACGCCTTTTCACCAATCCGTTCATTGACCAATGATATCGCTGACTTGTATTGAAGGCACTATAGTTATGTATCTGGTCCTGGCAATTGGCGTTGTCATTTGGTTTGCCCTAAACCGTGAGCTCCATCTCGAGCGGGAACCGCAAACAACAGACATGTCACGGATGCTGTCACCACACCACCACTACCACTGCTGTTGTGGTCCTATCGTTTCGGGTGGATCCACAAGTTCCATCACCTCCCCATAGGGAACCTCAGCGATAGATCCCATTGCCACACACGCATACGCACACGGATGCAAATACACAAGCCGCAAGCACACAAGTTCAGCCAGACATCCAATCCTAGGGATTCCATTGTGTGCCCAACTGAAGGGCAACATAGGCCACAACAGCAGCAACTTCAGCAAAATGCGGGATCCATTTATCATCATCCGACAGCCACCCAGATTGTAGCAACCTTCACTCGCTCGCTCGTTCGCTCACTCACTCACCCTTGACCGCTTAGATCCAATAGTATGTGGTGCGACCGTGCTTTCATCGGTTCGTGTGCCCGGGTGCGGTCGCGTTTGTGCCCGTGTCTGTGTATCGGAGTGTGTGCGTGTGTGTGTGCGGCTGTGGAGCCGTGGGTCCACGCACAGTGTACGTGTGTGCCAACAGGGACGTAAACATGCACCACTATTGATGATTTATGAATGCTTTCACTGTCCCGGTCAGCTATCAAGCGAAGCTATATTTTTGAAACAGTTTTGCGCGTGTCCGTGTATGCCATGTATGACGTGGTCCAGGTGGTTGATCAGACCGAAGAAACCAAATCCTACTCTCTCCATTGATTACCAGATACTTTGGACTATTCCGGTTACTCTTACTATTACTAGTGGTACTATTACTACTACTAGTACTACCAATACTACTGCTATTGTCGCATCGACAATCGGGATGTTGATTCAGACTGTGTATGATCGTGCACCAAGACCATCACCCGGTTAAACAGGACTCCGTACAATTCGACAGCAATCCAACCAAGTCTTGTGTAGTAGCTCAGCATTTGCCTCTTCTTATATTGTCAGTCCCAAAGGGCTTGTGCGTAATCTCTTTGCGCCTCTCGCGCGTGCTGTCCCTTGCTCTCCACGTATGAACACAACAGAGATAATTAATCTCATCACGACTATACACGGATAATTATCCTGTAATTGTCTCTGATACCAATCTTTTTGTTGCCTTGACATTCGCCGCTTACGTTAGCGTCATCGGTTGCCAATGAAACTATCTCACAAGTAATGCACTTCCAAGCGATGTGGACCTTAAACTCTACTTGTTTATTTCTGTGCTATCTTCTGACACTCAGCTCACAACTACGTGAATTATTGGCCGCGCATCAGTCCACAGAATCCCTGGAACCGGATATGAGCGATGATTTGCTAGTCCCCGGTCAATCATCGACAAGTCAAACTCGTCCCGGACCTGCGCAATCAGTTTACCTATCCCCGTACGGAGCGGGCTATCGAATGAACAATTCTCACTCCTACTGGACTAATCAGGCCTCACAAACTGCCTCGATGCAACGTCGACTACCGATGACTAGTGTGAGGAAACCGGATACGCGGATGTGGAATCAGACTCAGTACACTGTGGCCCCGCTTCAACAGCCCAGCCAGACCACCACGGACAGTTTTATTGGCCCAGATGGAAAATTGCATATCAGTATATGTGATCATCCGAACGGATTTTTAAGGCGACAGAAAAAACTATGTCGACGTTATTTACACCTGATGGAAAGTGTTGTTCGAGGCTATTTTATGGGTTTGCGAGAGTGTGAGTACCAGTTTGCCGCTCATCGATGGAACTGTCAGGGACACAATTTGACAATCCGTGTGCCCCCGGAAAGACGAAGGCGATTACGATATCGACAATCATCTGCGTCCTCATCCTCCGCAATGGCTAATCGTGATGCGGAAGATAGAAAACCGGTACGGATAAAGACGTATTTGGATAAATTGTTATCCAGAGGTAAGCAGCAGTTGTGTGTTTGAGTTCGTTACATTTTGTGCGAAGAGTACCGGTACCCTAACGGGTAAGTTTATTTTTTATCTTCAACAATTCAAGTACATGCTATCGCAAACAGTGTGTGTGTGTGTCTAGGTGTACATCACGTGAGTCGGGTTCATTTCCCCCTTAAGTGTTAATTAGATTGTGAAAAAAGGCACCAAAAAGTAAACATTTTGTGATGAACTACAGTAGGTCGTTAATGAACTGCTGGAAAAGTAGGGTTGTGTCATCATAAGGTTACCTTTTTTCTCCATCAGCATAAATAAGAATGAGATTGACCAAGTTCTGCATAGCATTCGGAAATTGGTTCAATTAAATTTTGGATCCTGCCTGAACTCCAGATTGGAAAAAATTCAGCAGTACTGAAATCCTTTCAACATCCGGAGTCGGATTGATCGCGATCACCAAACCGCATCTCAGAGACCAATCTTTCTTTCTTTGTTATTCGGTCGGTATGAATGCCCATCCAAACAGACGCGCACGTTTTGTACCAAACTTGGAGGCCAGTTTGAGATAAGCGATAGTTCGAAACATATGATTATCTGCCTTTGTTTGTTTGGCAAACACTGACTTTCGACGAAAAAAATCAGAGAACCGTTCCGGATGGAGCTCAATCATCTGTTATCCATGAGTTAATTATATATTCCATACAGAAACCAAATCATTCTAGATAATGGAAATTTTTTGGAACAAGAGAATCCAACATACAAGACCTGAATTATTTCGGGTGTTCAAAACTGCGGTGTTGGCTCATGTTAACCGGTAAATGGTTTCACGGGGTGTCCGGAATAGGGAATATTTTTAAACCGGAGATTGTTTTAGTATAGCTCTTTTTAGCTCCAAATGTAACATTCGTTGAAGAACAACCAGACTGATAATGATCTCCTTCCCCCTTCCCCCGAACGGTTTTGCCTTTAAACTTGCTTCACAAGACCAATCATTCAGGATGTTATTTATTAGTTATTTGGCCACTGCTGGTTACTCGGTGGCAACTGATATGCTGATGTCAGTTCAGGCAGCGAACCGGTACATTTTTCTCCAAGTTGTGGACCTCGGCAATGTGAATTTTTCTACCAACGGTGTTTCTAGCAATGAAACCTTTATTTTTAACAAGAACTCGTGAATTATCAGCCAGATACTCGAAATAAACAGAGAAGTCCTTTCCTCAATTCCGGTCTCGTGAGAACAGACCAGACAGGACCAAGGGATTTGTTGTAATCCCATTGAAAATTTGTCCTTGGGTTGAGGCCCTACTTCCTAGATCCGATTGTACGGATTTGACAACAACCTTCTAAAACGATTGATACGTCATCAAAGTAACTGCGTGAATTAGTTGTGATGAGCATTAATAAAAATCTATTCGCAGTTTGCTGATCAAAATAGGATTTAATTTATCGAAATTTGGTCACTTTTTCAGCCAGTTTTTGGGGTGCTTCTACTTATGCTGCAGATATGTAATCACGGGACCAATGACCGGTTGTGCAGTACAGTGTTTGATCGAAATTTGCACCGGATGCTTGTGGAGACTATTCAAATCACTAATCGATGTCTCGTAGTGTTCCCTCGAGTCTGAGAATTATCTTGAACTGAAAACACTGACTGACAATGTATACACCGAGACCATATTTTTCCTTCTGCCGTGAACCTTCTTTTATTCACAGTTACCTCCCGTCCAATTTGACTGTCTCTAGTTTGGCTTCGTGAACCGTTTAGTAAGGCAAACCAAAACAGTTCATCGCAGTACAAGACCAAATTGTAGGCGCTATGTTGTACACTATATCTACTCCTGTATCACACACCCTGAGTACATGATAAAAAACTATTTGAAAGAGCATATAGATTCTGAGGTATCAATCAAACACGGCCCCCATATCCATACTGATAGCGCATGCATGGTGAATGAAATCAACGAGTGAAACTTGTTACTTCGTGGTATCAGATCGAAATGATATGTTCTGGAAAGAATATAATGTTAGATTAATACGAAAAAAACTTTTCCACGATAATTCTATTTTAATGTTAACATTTCTTTAAGATTTATTCAGTATCCCTTTTAAAATCCAGCTTTATGTATTCTTGTTCCATGGAACATAAAACAGAACCAAATTACAAGACCACCACGATCTACATATTGTTATCGTCTAAATAAACTCTCGGGATTGTGTGAGACCCGTAAGGGAGGGTGTTATTTATATAAGGCATTCAGGTAGGATCTTTACATGGCTCCCAGTCATCTACTCTCGCACATGATAGTTACTTCAGTTCTATCCACTTATGATCATCCACTTTACTTGTGTGTTTCCTTGCTCCCGGATTCGTAAAATGCGTGCCTGTGTGTGTGTGCTAACCTAAACACTGAACACAACTTACTTTTTTGGTTTGTACTCGAGTTGTTTTCTGTAACATGCAGTGCGTCTATAAGTAAGCAAATAGATAAGTAAGCACTCGGGCAGCTGTTCTCTTATCCGTCCGTATACGATCCTGTTCTCGTAAGCAATGCATTAATCTCTCTCTACCCGTAACTCGTTAAATCTCTGTTACGTGTTGTCCGTATTCTGTCGCTGGACCACACGGAGCTTTCAAATTGGATTCTTACGCAATAGGCGCTAACATTTCTACTCGAGGTTACATGTACAATTGAGAAGCTCCCTCTCTCTCGCTGAGTGGTTTGGATAGCTGAGCCAACTCGAGTAAATTCTGTCCTACTTCACTGAAGGATAGAATACCAAAACAACGCGAAATGATAGAATAAATTGAAATTCACGGTGCTTTTATCCATTTTTATTTGATTTTCGCATGTCAGGAAAGTCGATTGCATGTTCTGCTTAAATAATGACATTTTTAGCCTGTGATACTATGGCTGTTTAGTTCAAAACAAAGATATGGTTAACATAGAATAATGCAAAAATTAGAACTTAGGCTTGAGTTTAAAACATTTTCGATCAGTTAAAACACGGTTCATGCTGAATATGGGTGGAGCTGGACAAGTTAAAGACACTTGTCCACTAGTGAACAATAAAGAGAACCTGTTTGTCTAGAATGTAAAGCCATGGAATTTTGGGAAGCATTTCACTATGTGGTCCCTGAAGCACACTTCATTTGTGGTCAATAAAGACAAAACAGCGAGCAACAAGATCAACTAACGAATGAATGTGTTTCAGTCATCTGAAGCTGGTCAGATATTCGACGCGTTTCAGTGGTGAACATTGCACAATGCCACTTTTGTCATCTCTCAGGGAAGGCGAGGTTGTTTTCATTGGGGGCATGAAATAGTGTCCAGTCACGATGATATGCTCGATCGAAAAGAGTTTTCCACTGGGGGAGACCTTCAAAATCAATGGAAATCAAACAGTACAACAAACCGGTATTGATCTTCATCTACCGGGTCTACACGTCTAGCCCAAAGGCATATAGCTTCTAAATGATATATGTATAATAAATAAGTATATATATATATATAATTTGCATTTCAGGACAAGTCGGTGATTGGCGCAATCTTTGGAAACTGCTCAATGCCATAAACATATGCATCAACGCAAGGAATAATTCTGTAGAATAAGAGAAACATAAATTCGACAACCTATGTTTGCATCGTTCACTCCAGTCCATCGGTAACATGTAGATTTACAAAGGGTGCAGTATGAGTCAAACGGTGAACAATAACGGGAGTTGTTTGATCGATGCTTACGAAGAATTGCAGTACTTACCTGTGAAACCTTGCTCGGTTGTTAGATTAGAATGAATAGTAGCACAAGCAGGCTACCATTGGGAGCACATACAATAGCCACCCTCTGACAGATTAATCATTCAGGTGTGCAGTTCTTTTTTCTCCTGTGGCTTGCAAAACTGTTCACTGTCTTCAGGGCTGAACACGCAACTTAATTACCCCCTCCCCCTCTCTATAGTTAAACCCGGTTTAAGCTTAGTCAGTTAGAACACAAATCGCTGGAGAAGACATCTGTGGTAAGTGTGCCTCGGTAGACGATGCTTTATTAAATTCGCAGTAACTAGGGGATTCGAAATTCAAATAGTCCATTCATGAGATGTCTATTGTGCACTGCGAAGTGTGTTCCGGTGACATTATGCAACGTTAATATCTTCATTGCAAGCATTTATTCTCTCCAGCTTCTTTTCATTGTGTTCTTTCAGGCTCCGAAAATTATAAAAACCAGAACACTCTGATTTGAGTAAGGTTTAACGGATCACTAAGTGTTATAAACTCTATGCCATTTTGTTGAAAGAAGTCGGAAGGAGAGATGAAGAGTCTTAGTCTACTTTTTCAAAATAACTCACTGAATTAACTGTTACTAGGATGAGAAAGGAGGAGCAATCAGCTAACTAACCGATCGTACTTAACGGGGTCACTTGAGTTTGAATCTGCAGTCTATCGTTCGTCCCATAAACTGCGAATTGTACGTGAAGATGAGGTCTGATGCGTGACCAGTCGCAACAAGGATTACCTAGACCAAATTTAACTCACATTTTTATTGACAAAACTGAGTTCTTCTGTGAAAACAATGTGAACACATTATGTCAAATCTGTAGTAGAACATCCATACTGAATCCTTGCTTGCCAGCCTGATTAGATGATAATGAAGGTTCGCTTAGCTGAATGTGATACACCTCGATAACTGATTAACTGCCCATCCGATCATGATGATCAGAAAATCGATTGCAAACTTTATCATGGTCCTTGAACTGTGAGAAACCATGGTGATGACCTGAGTCGCACGGCCACACGGCCCTTACTGAGTATGAGAGTGAAAACTTGTCAAGGATCACAAAATGTGTGGTTCGCGAGGCCGGTTTACCTGTGCACGTATGCAAATGGGATTAGGTCGGGTCGCGTGTTGGTTAGGTACCATGTTGACCCTTTCATTTGCATTTTACCACACAGAAGCTAGGTAGTAGTCACGGCCTCTCCTCTCCGCACCCCGATCAACCCCATGAAGCCTAACGGGACAGCGAAAATGGTTCCGCCATAACAGAAGTCAACACAAACCCTTACTTTGGTTACAAAATCTACTTCAAACCTGACCTCAGATCGCTAAAAGTGTGAATTCCAATATGCACAAAACACATCGTCTTCTAGACTGTCTAAAAGCGTCACGAAACTGAAGAATTATGCAATATTTTATTTAAAAGCTAATACAAAGTAGACTGAGCAGCGATGTGCGAGTGAAGAATGCTTTTGCACAAGTGAGACACGAAAAACGTACTTCATCAGCGTCGAAAGCTGTCAGTTTACAGGNTTTACAGGGCGTTACTTGTCCTTGATCCAAACTGATTATCGAATCACTTGATTGTAAGCAGCCGAAAAACATTTTACAGTAGTTCCACTCGGTTATTGCATTTCCGATTCTAAACTCAAGCCAAGCAATAAAATTTGGGATCCATACAATTGTCATTGCTAAAATAAATCAGAACTTCTCAATGTTTATTTTATTTCACTGATGAAGTATGCATGGAAGTAGTCGTTGATCTTAGTATTGCACTATCTAGAAATTACATGATAGTAGTGAAGGATTCGTTTTGATCGTATGGCTAACTTCCTCGTGTAAAGAGCAAATGAAACATGAACTGAAAGGATGCGAAGTAATGGACAGTTCCTTCGACCTGGTTGATTCTCAATGGTAGTGCGATTTCATTGACCCAACTGGGGTTCAAACCCGAACCATCATAGGTGGATCGCAGGCATGCTAACCACTCGGCCACCAAGCAGCTAATCAGACCGTTTATCAATTTGCTTATACACAAACTAGCAAGCTTATTGCGGCATCACATCTGGCTACTTTCAAAACCAGCCTCCAGCGCTTTGACTTATTCGGAAACATTCTGAACTTGACAGTTCGGTGTATCACAGTGATAAGTGATTTGATTCGATTATACAGTTGGGTTCACGCTCAATTTGCTCTTTGCACGACGAAATTCGTCATACAGCTTTTGAATTTATTGCATATAATACTCCAGGCATGGAAATCTAATGCAGCTTGTTCGAAATATGGAAAGTTACTGTGCCATTTCATTTACACTCACCATTTACAGTAGTAAAAGTGAATTGCTTGCATAGCATCCATTGTACTGTGTGCTTTTCAACTCTGTCTCGAGCCATCACTTCGAACATCGAAGGCAGTTTGACAGATTCATTGCTGACATTTTGGAAAATTGGGATAACTACCCCCCTTTCCCCTCGTGAACACCTAGTATTTGTGAGTCTTTTATTCCACAGTTCACCTTAGGAAACAACTTTACTCATTTCTTACTCATCCACGGAAAGCCCCAAAATTTACATTCGGTACTTGGAATTCTAAAAAACATGCAAAATTTACAAAAATCATCAAGCTGGGTCTTTTGGAATCGCAATGAAAGTGAGAAAAATTGATTGAAATTTCCGACACATTCAGAGGTCAACAAAGTCCTCAGAAAAGTACTTGCTCAGGAACACTGATCTGTTATGGGATTTTAGTCGAATTCAGAAACTAAAAGCTGGACCAAACCGTTGACGTTAGTGATGTTTCGAGTGACAGTGCATATTAGTGTATATGCCCACAGGTATGCAAAAATACGATATACTACTGTATAAAATAATACCGAACAATAAAAAACCTATTGGATTGCGAGTAAACTGTGTGAGTATTTCACAGTTTGATTGCGCAAAACCGAAGGAGAACGACCGACTCTCTTATAATTAAATCAAACGAGAAGGCAACAAATCTGTTGATAATTATAGCTTCGATAAATTACGGAACTAGGTGAATCCGAATTCAAACCAGTAGTATTTGGGTAATGTTATGGTAATCAAGACCATGGATTCTACCACCATTTGCTGGCTGATCGATTTCTTGTGACTTCAAATTCGCTGCCATAATCACTCGTCTGTTCCAGATTTCCATTTAGGCAGTCGCTGAAAAATATTTCTACTGAATGAACAGAAAGTGCATTCCCACATAGTGGACACACCCACACCGGTAATCATAAAGCATATCGTTTAAAAGTGAGGCAGTTTTACGACTGTATGTATGAGGTCGGTTGTAGTTGGAATCCCACTGAAACACAAAGTTCGTTTAAGAGAGAGAGGGAGCGAAAGAGTTTCGAGTTAGGCATGTTATTGTCGGAGGAATTCTGAAACTAGTTCAGAGGTTTCGAATAGCTCTGAACTTGTCTATGCACGTGGGACTAATTACTGTTCAATCGACAGCTTTTACAGTGCAAAACAAAGGCCTCGTTTTGGACTGTAACACACTAACATAGATAACTTACTTTGCGATGAAAATTCAGCGGAGATTTTGATGAATTTATTGACGTTTAGTTTATGTTCTCTACCTGGCAAATCGAGTTATGGGGCAAAAATAGTGAAGTTTTAATTTCAGAGGTGAATACATTTTCTTCGCTATATTCGTCAGTTTTCGATCACTTTTAACCGAGATTTGCCATTTTACACCTACCTGAAACCCCTTATTTGTCACCTTTAAAGGCACCAGAGAATCAGCTTACGTACTGGCCGTGACCTCTGCCGGTGTTTCACACGCGGTAACAAAGGCGTGCAGCAGTGGTTTGCACGACAACTGTGGCTGCGATCGCACGATCTACGATCACCCGCGCGAGCCCAATTTCGAATGGTCTGGTTGTTCGGATAATATTCATTTTGGTGCGGCCTTTTCACGACAATTTCTGGACATACGAGAACGAAGCCGTTTGAAAAGGAATCCCAAATTGGGCATGACCAATTTGCACAATAATCACGTTGGAAGACAAGTGAGTATACATGCAAATCACCCACCAACCCCTATTGAAATGCTAACTCATAATTAACAGTTAATCACACACATTTCATAAACAAAGCTTAGCTCCATCGATTGAAGAGGTTTGGGATCGATAAAGGCAACCAGTGCGCGCCAAGTCATCTAGTTTTAATATGTGGAAAGTAGCTGAGAGTCAGATTATATTGTAAGGGCATCAGATTACCAGCCTGTTGTTCTCGGGTTCGGATTCCAGTGGATTCGGTAGAGACGAACGCAAGAGTTGGGCATGCCTCCGTAACTTTCCAATGTTTTGTGACGCATTATTGTTCGTAAAGACTTCATATTTCGACAGTGAACAATGCTACCACTACTACTACTACTACTACTACTACTACTACTACTACTACTACTACTACTACTAATAATAATAATAATAATAATAATAATAATAATAATAATAATAATAATAATAATAATAAGGTTCTCAGTCGTTCTTAACAAGAATCTATCTAGTGGGTGGCATTCTTGCTTTCTGCCCACGAGGTCGATGGATTCGCACTGCTGATGTGACCGAACTAGGTCAAAACAGCTGTCCAGTGTTTCCTAGCTTTTCAGTTCATGCTTCATTTCCTATATACACGGCCATGTTCCTCTTTGAAGTTGAATCAAATCCTCCTTTACTCACAAGAATCTATTCTCTTGCTTTGTTTCGATAGCTATATGGGGCGAATGGATAAAAACGATCGCACTTTTTCCTATCACTGTTACACGACTGGCACATTGGTGATATGCTGAACTAAATAGTCACAATTAAGTACAGTGCGGCGAGCATGATCGAGAGCTTTGTTATCTGGGTTTCCCCAATAATAGCGATCTACCTGGAGACCGGATAACAGCAGAGTTGTAAAGCGGTAAATTAGGGTCACGTTGGTGGTATTCACACCCAGTAACAGCAGTCATTGTATTGATAGCAATAGTAGTAGTAGTTGTTGTTGTAGTTATGTAAACCACTGAGCCACTAAAATTACTGATTGGACTTTCCATATGATAACCTGTTTCAGAATTTATCATTCGCTCTTCACCATTAAACCGAGACCTAAGTTTTTCGCTCTGAAATGCTTGCAGGGT